CTGTTAAAGTTTCTACTGTCACTTGATTTTGTGTTATAAAAATAAAAAATACGAAGAAAGTGTTATTAAAGTTTATAGATAGAATGAAAGTACTTTCATGGCGTATTCTGCCTGCGTACAAATAATTGGCGCGAAATTTGATTTACTTTATTACTTCAGCTCGTTCTAAATACAAAACAACCATCTTTCTTTAATCGCTTTAACCTTATCACAGTAAGTAGTTCGTTATGTCTGCAACCAGCAAATAAATAAAGGGGTTACACATTGCGAAGTATTGTCAAAAGTCAGAGCACTGTGAGGCGATTCGTGAAAGATCCGATTTATTTCGCGTTCCTCTCGGGAGAGAGGGTCGCAATTTCTACGTGGATAACTTTTGGCTTACTCGTACTTCCGTCGACGTAATCGTGACCATAGTCCGTACGCAATCTCCCTGCAGAATACATCGATGCTCCTGTTCGATTGTCCGGAGAGCTTTATCGTGAAATTCGATCGCTTTGCAGCGAAGCGGACTGAAAGCGCTATGCACCGAAGCTTACCGAGAGGAATCGTCTCGCGGTAGATTGAATGGACATTTTAGGTAGAAATAACTCGTGTCATCAACAAATATGTATTTCCTCTGGTTCTTCTGCGTTTACAAGGAAACCCCGGAGATTGATACACGTCAATTTTTATGAAACTTTCCAATAACTTTACAATTGTTCGTTGAACTTATTTAACATATTAACCTACAATTTTTTAGGTGGTCGCGACATTCATAGCTAGATAATTATTGCTACAAAGGCAACTAAAGAAAGTTAAAACGTTAAGCATATTTTGTTTTTAGCGATCCTTTATTATACAAAATCCAATTTAATGTAAAAATAGGAGTCGGATTTATTATATTTCAGCTGTAGTATGCATCACGAGTGTGATACTATAGGGCAAGGGGTTAAGAATGTAATTCTTTTTACTTCAAGAGGGTATACTAGTCTAAACCCTTAAAAAATTATTTCTTTTTTACATTTTCTGAACGTAGACATTTGTTGATGTAAAACAGTGGAAGGATTCTTTGAATTCGTGAAAATGACAAAGTTGCATATAGTTAACGAAGAAATGTAGCCCGCAGCATGCAACCATTCTCACATAACAAATACGAGAACCTTTAATAGTGTTTTGATACAACATCTTATTATATAACTGAGGTGATATCTCAAACTCTAGACGACTAGTTGACTTGCAATTTGATATATACTATCGCATGCTATCATCTGAACTAAAATGATGTAAAAGATAGAATTTTTGCTATTTATGTTATCTTGCTAAACATGAAAAAAAGTCAATAGAATGTATGTCCAAAATTCAAAGTGTCGCCATTTTGTAAATCTTCAAGCCATAATCACAATTATACTAATAAAAAATCCTGTTTATTTTTTTATTTCAGATAAATAGAATGATCAGAATCGTAGCCAGTAGATTTTTTTTTAAATGAAACCAGTTCAAAAGCACATAACTTAATTAGATTCTGTTATTTTTACTTGAAAAAAAAATTGTAAACATTCATAAAACGTAAATAAATAGATACGAAAAATGTTAATATTAGGGAACTTATATTTTATTTGTAAACAAATTCCTAAAAGCACCAAGAAAATATATTTTTACACCTAAGGGTAAGATCAAGCCTGTTATGCGAGTCAATCTATATAACTATTTATAAACGTGTGATGCTTAAATTTTCATACGAATTTGTCATATATATTATTAAGAATTTGTTCACTAACCTTATTGGAAATATTTATATTAACTGTTTAGAACAATAAATAATAAATATAACAAATACTGTGAAAATATTTAGTAAGATTTGTTGAAAACAAAAATGCTATCTAATAAAATTTTAAACTGCTTCAAACAACGTGTTAAAAAGTTCGAGTAAATGAAACATGTGGACTGTAGAGGAAACAACTTTCATATTTTATGGAGGATTAACGGTGAACATTCTTATAAATTAATGGTTACGTGTTCGAATCGCACAGTAATCTTTTTTATTTTCTGCAAAATTTCATTTTTATTACTCTTTATCCATTTAAATGTCAGTTTATTAAAATTCATTTAGCAATTTATTAAAGTAATACAATTAAAAATGTTTAATTGTGATAATGTTAATAGTATAATGATAATTTTTCTTATATAAACACTTTAAATTTTCATATATGAATAAAATTATTCACATTTTTATATGAATTTTTATTTGAATAATACATTATAATACATTCTGTATTCGCATTAATTGCAAGTAAACAACGTTAAATATCAAACCAAAATAACGAAATTTCAATCAACATTTTCACCAAGAAAATTCTTTTCCAAACTTCGAATTACGATTCTAAAATCAGAAATAATATATTTCAGTGAGACATCGAAAATTTAACGATCAAAATGTCGAGGAATTTCAAAACAGTTTGCATTTGCCACAGGAGTTAAGCAAACTTGTATATAATTTCTATTGCACTTTAGCGTGGTTCACCTCTCTATAATTGTTTGATGGAATTCAATCAACTGAGTTTTTTATATTTCCCAATAACACGATTTGTGCCATTGGTTTCGTTCTGAATGAATACATTGTTATATTTAAAACAATTAAATCGACGCTTGACACCACTTTTTCGGCTTGTTTCACCAGCAAAAACTGTTTTTTTCGAAAATTCGAAAAAATACATGTCGCTCAGTGTTTCTTAGTGAAAGCGATTAAAATGTTAGGGTAACATTCACTTATGATTCGAGTTGTTTATAAGTGTATAATATTGAGTTTTATCGCTGTAAAATGTTTTACAAAAATGTTAACTAAACGTTTTACTGTCTCTCAAGAAGACATTCGATTCAAAATTTCATGTATGCAAGCAACAGTACCGTGTTTTTCAGATGTGAACGTTAGCTAATGGCCAGTTTTTCAAATATTTCTAAAGAGAATAGTCTTTCAATAAATTTGTACTATCAGTGTAGTTTAAAATATCCTAGAAGAATGTATGTAAAAGATTTAGTTTCAGAAGATATTTCAAAGATATGTTCAAACAGATATAGAAAATTTCGGAATCGAACTGCGAGCATAATAATCTAAGCACACAAAAAATACACAATATTGAATATACCAGATGGATTTGAAAAAATAAACTCAGTCTGTAAAGAATAATATCCTATGTATGTAAAACATCCAACATACCAAAAGTAAATAGTCAAATTTTTTTCATAAAATACAGAGTAATTTTTATTACTTCTCTCTGAAATTTCGAGTAATCTGTTATTTTACACGACGTGTACTCTTTTACATTGACTTGTATACAGGTCAACGGCAGCGAAATAATTTTTTTCATTAACATGTATACTCGTCGAACGTAGTTAACTAATTAATCATTGAACACAACACTTGGGGAGTTCCCCTCGTTAGGCACGTGTCTATTTTGCTCAGCGATAATTGCAGCATCTGAACCAAACAAAATATTCTAGGATTTTTTCCACCTAAAGCGCCCATTTCACTGTGCGTCAGTCAGGTGAAGGTGAGACAGAAAATAACTACACGCGACAGGGTGTGGAAGAGATAGAAGGGAAGGTCACAGTGTCGAGAGATGAAGGGAGACACAGAATGTGGAGGAGAAGCGATGATGCGACACTCATCCTGACGAACCGTTACCTCCATTCATCGCATTCGCGATACTGATGTGAGATACGCGGCTTTTCTCGATACGTATGCCTACTGGCGCTATCATTAAAATGACATCACGGAAGCGGAAGGGTTAGAGAGAAACAGCGAACTCGAACGTAGAGGGCGGTAGTCGCGACTCGCCTTCATTCTAACGGTTTCGCCCTTTATTTTCCTCAGTTCCACGCCACTGCGCCATAAATCCTAAAAAATCGTTAATCTCTTTCGTCCCTTTTATTTTCTCGTCCCTTTTCTGCGGCAACGCGTACCAGCACCGAATGGATTTTCATATTAAACCGGTGACAAATTGTTCAGACGGCTTCGCTGGCGACGGCCAACCTGTGAAATCTGTTTACTATTTAATTGCTCGCCGTTACGGGCGTTAATCTCGACGCAATCGACGGTAACTTGTAAGAAATGAATAGAGTTTAATGGAAAACTGTTACACGGAAACGTATTCGTGAAACAATACGAAATACGATTGGAAAATCGTATAAATCGTCAAAAAACTCATGGCTGGATGCTGACGAGTTTATTTGTATTTATATAAATAAATTTTCACAGTAATTTACTAAAGTGCAAAGTCGTGTAAATTGTTGTTTTTACTTTTACACCACTTTATTATATTTACACCATTTTTACATCAGTTGAACGTTTTGCAACATTTGTATTGCACGTTACTATTTATTTTGTCAGAATATTTATGTAGCTTAATTCTATTATTATTGTTTAAGTACTGTTAAGTATTAAGTACTGTTTCTATTATTTAAGTAGATATAGTTATTCATATTAACATCTAGACACAGTTCTAAAGGTATTCCTGTTAGTTCTTATTTGTTTTACTATCAGTCAAAATTTTAAAGTTGAACAGAAATTAATAAATGATTAATATTTATAAAATAAGTAGTATGATATAAAAATATCCTATTCTATGTACAATTATAAATACACAAATAATGCAAAAGTAATGCAAAAATGAATTATATTCAGAAACGCTAAATATTTAATAGTAAGAGCAATAAATATATTGCATATTGAACGACAGATTTTTCTACGACCGTTTAATCGCAATTTCACTTCGTGTGTGCTTTTCATATAACAAGTCTTCTTTCCGGGTTAATTTATTAATAATAAAATTTCTTTGAAAATTAAATCAAAGCTTCATTTAATTGTAACCCAATACTATGCATAATTTGTTTTGTGAAGTTAGATATTTATTTGTTCTTTGTAAACAGATACGTTGATAGCTTTGTTATTATTTACTTCTGATAGCTGCTGTACAACAGTTATTAGCATTTATTAATAATATCGAATTACGTTTTGTCGGCAGTACGCATTGGAGAATAATCAAAGCCTCAGTATCCTAAGCTTCGTGCCAGGCATAGAAGACGATGGCAAATATCTGACGTGTCGGGCGGAAAACCCTTCTATTCCTGACAGTGCTTTGGAGGACAAGTGGAGACTGGACGTGCAGTATCAGCCAGTGGTAACCCTCAAGATGGGAGAAACCTTGAATCCAGATGATATCAAAGAGGGTGACGACGTCTATTTCGAGTGCTTAGTCAGGGCTAATCCGAAAGTGTACAAGCTTGCCTGGTTCAAAGATGTAAGTCCTGTCATAACACACCATTTTCTGACCGCTCTGTAAATAATAATTGTTTTATAACATTGTTTTGTAATATATTCTTATGTTTCACGATTTTTTTGCTGCTTGCATTTATCGGAGCTAACATTAAAATTTATCTGGAAAAAATAATAACGGACTCACATACATGTTTCGTATAATTCAGTTAATTCTGGACACTAGAAGTAATTTTCAGTTAGTAATACTTCTTCAATTAATATTGCTTAATAATTAAATGATTGATAATATTTATGTTTGTTCGGCATTTGGTTAAATTTTATTTTTATTAAGTACTATTAAATATTTTTATAGATATTTTTCAAAAATGCTTTAGTAGAGTGCAAAGATACAAGTTTCATATTTAGGAACCCAAATCTAAATATTGAAAAATGTTGCATGTATAAAACTCAGTATTTTTAACGTACTTTATAGATTAGTTTGATAATCTCTATTCTTCTATTTATACTCTGAGCACATGTGGGAATTAAACTGATGTCGACGATATTATTATTTAATAATATCGTTAAGCTTCGTTATTTAAAAATATAATCTCTTTGGGGGTTCAGAATAGTTCGACAAGATCAATTTTGTTATGACGGTAGAACACCATAAAAAATTGAATGGATTCTCTGCAAACATGTCATTATGGGAATATCTTCTACCTATTTAATTATTTACTGGACAACAATTTAATTTTATATTTGGAATTTGAATGGCTAAGAGTGTCACCTGTAATTAAACGTTTATTTATGTCTAATGTAATCGAAATCCCGATACTGGTACAAATATAAATTTAATGCAAATGTACCCTGAACCTAATTGAAATTCCAATTTCAAGGATAGCTCCAAATTTACTTCGAATTCAAATCTAAGATACATTTAACATAAATTCGGTTCAAATTCAAATCTAATAGAAATCTACTCCAAATTAATCGCAGTTCGTTTTCATACATATTTCGCAATATGACTTATTGATTTATGAATGTTCTATAGCAAGTCCCGTGTGTAATGGTCGTCACTGACATATATCAATTTATCATTGGTAAATTGAAGTTAAGTCAGTCAGTGACTTTATAGATAGAAGTTAATATGTCGTCAAAATTAACTTATAGAAGTTAAAAAACACTTAACCCCAAAAACACTTAATGCTAGAAACACTCAGTGAAATACATGTAATTTTAACCCAATAAATCACAAAGCTTAGAACTTGTGCATTCGATATAACCATGAGATACATGAATTTTGTATATCCCACAACAGAGTTTAACCGAGCATTATTTGAACTAATATTTACAATAATTTGATTCAATTCAAAATATTTTAATTTATTGAACTAAAACAATTGTTGATGACAAATAACTGTGAAAGACATTTCATGTTTTATTATGTGGTTACATAAATTAATGTGTTTATATTAATATATAATTAGTTTCTATTAACATGGAAAGAAAATTTGCAACAAAATTATGTTATCTCTTTCAGGGCAAAGAACTAAAGAACAACGCCACCGCAGGCATCGTCCTCAGCGATTATTCGTTGGTTCTTCAGGGTATCACCCGATACTCGGCTGGTGATTATACTTGTCTTGCTGCCAATAGTGAAGGAAAAACTGCCAGTAACCCTGTGACTCTTCGAATAATGTGTGAGTCTACATAATTCCCTTAATTGTAAAGATTTGTGTTACATTTTGCTTCTTTACAATTTTTACTGCCATTTAATTGATTTCTAGCGTAACTGTTTAAAATATTTTGTTATCAATTAAATATGATCACACACAATATTTTCAGGTTATATTAACTTATTTATAAAATTATTTTGAATTTTTTGTACAAAAGTTACATAGTCGGTGCAGCAGATAAATATGCTAATTAGAATTTGAAGAACGCGAATATTTTGATACTAATTAAATACAAATTATACAAATTTTTGCACTTTACATTTCGCAATTTTCTGTGCACAAATTAAAATTGGTGTGTAATAAATGTGCTAATTAAAATTGAAAAACATGCAACTCAATATTATAACTGTTTTGAAAGTTACAATAATTTATATAGGGTGATTCAATTAAGTGTATCATTTACTCGTAAACTGTTTGTTACATAAATAGATATTTGGTATTAAATACTTGTCACCTTATATCTTACAATTTCGTTTATTTCTATATCAGAAATAACCACGTCTCTGTGAAATGTGTTCTAAGCCATAGATATAACTGCACGTGTTAACGAACAAATTTTTAATTATTGAATTTTTGTACTATATTAATTTCTAACCCAATGTCTAAAATTAAATTTTACTCGATGCAGCTAAAACACTGAAAAATAAAAAAATACAATAAAAAAAACTATCAATAAGAAAATAAAATAGTAATAGTCTAATCATTACATTGTACGCACATATCGATATACATAATACCATCTTTATTACAATTACTTTTTGTAATAACAAACTTCCGCATAAGTTTATAATATAATAATGCGTATTATATCATGAAAAGATAAGTTTTTTATTTATTTAAAAAATAGAATTTCGTACATTATCTATGGTATAATTCAATTTTTTTTAAACATGTTCAACAGTTTATTTAAATAATCATTAATGAAATAAAAAAGGGCAGCAGTAATTATATTCATTTGAAAGCAGCAAACGAGTTCCTGATTAAATAGCTTTTTTATGACGAATAAATTATTAATATAATAGCCTTCTTTATTGAGAAAATTGATCGGGTATTCTTCATTCGTTATTGGAACAATTACCGGTGAATATTAAATGAATGAAAATTAATAACTCATATATGTAAATGCGGAATAATAATAGAAGAGAGGTATTTATTACTTATTTGTTGAAGACGGTTAAACTAGAAGTCACTTAAAATTTATTCATTAATAATTTTTATACTTATTTTTCGGTATTTATGTAATTTTTTTTTTTTAATAATTATTGTAATAATTGTACACTTATGCAGTGTTTTTGATTTTTTGGTACAATTAAAAAAGATGCGAATTTAGATCCATGAATGTAGAATATAATATTGTTTTTTTGAATCTTCTTTTCCAATTAAATCTTTTATTTTGTGAATAAAATTGACAAGCACGGTGGAATAATCTAGGCAAAATGGTAGTGTAGGAAAACAGCGCGCCATTACATGTTTAAATGGTTATAAATTTTCAGTTTGGAAAATACAAGCATTTTGGAAGTGGAATTTTGTTAAAATACACATTCAACCATTTTAGTTTTCAAATTTATAAATTTAGGAATATTCTAATTTGAAATGTTAGAAATTTGGTTACTTGGAAATTCAGAAATGGGATTTCAGAATTTGAAAATACAAGGGTTAACAAATTTGGAAAATTAGGGATTTAAGGGTTTCGAGATTTGGTGATTTAGGGATTTCGAAATTTACGAACTTACGAATTCCGAAATTTAAGGATTTAGGGCTTTGGAATTTGGAGATATAGGGATTTGGAAATTTGGAGATTCAGGAATTGGAGGTTTTGGAACTCAGAAATTACAGGATTTGGAATTTTTTGATGTTTTGGAATTTAGGAATTTCAGAATTTGAAAATTTGAAAATTTAAGAACTTGAAAATTTTGAAATTTGGGAATTTAGGAACTTGCAATCCTCGGAACTTAAAAATTTGTGAATTATAAGATTTTTAAATGTAAAAATTAAAAAAATTGAAAACTGAAAACATGGGAATTTTGCGGATTTCAAATTGTAATTGATAGAAGTATCTACATGCTTTAAAATGAAATTTCATACAGAAGAACATTATTCTACATTTACAAATATATGTATTCACATAAATTTTGCTCATTTTTGTTTATATCACAATATTAAAAATACTCTGACGATTTTAACATTCAAGTATGTTTGCAATAAACGTAGACATAGTAATAATTAATAATTTAATTAGTGATTTAATATTATCCATTCAATCCAAATAAAAATTGTTAGAAGCATTTGTTATAAGTGCATTATACGAAATTCAGTTGATGTGATTAATTATAATTGTTTAGCAATTTGAATACATATCAAACTCATATTATTACAAATGAAATCATAGTCTTAATAGACTACGAACGTTTATACATCTATAATAGATCGACATATTATATAAAATAAATATGAATCATGTAATTAATATGATACGCAGTAGAGATTACGGTTGTAATTAATTAAAACCGAATAGTTAAAAAAAATTCAATCATAATGCATCGTTCATATTTACAATATATCGAAGCCAGCAAAATAAATATAATTTATGCTAATGGTGATTAAAAATTTAGTTATAATACATAATGAAATAAAAGTTTCCAATAAATAATTTTAAACGTCGAATAAACCGTTATATTATCATATTTTATACATAATAATCATATTTTTAACAGAATTCAACAAAAATTAATGTTACCCTTCGAGAAGAATAATTAACTCATATAAGTCTCGCAAAATATACTTTAAATCTTTATTTGAATTGTAAGTATGAAACTTCAAAAATTGTGCGATAGAGCCTTAACAAGCGTTGAAATAATTCTTCCAAAATGCATGAGATTTTCCAGCATCAGATTTTCAAATGTTACAGAGGAAATTAGTTAGCACTGAGCAATTTGGCGAAATGGTGCCTACTTAAACTGAATAACGACCCTAGAAAACCATCCGTGGAACTAAATTTGGAAATTCCGAAAGAAGATTAAAATGAATCTGAGCTATCACTAATTTTCCGGAATCCCGATTTTTGTTCGGGCAATTAAGTAAAAAGTCGTTGAAACAACGAGCAATTTTAGTTCCCTCGAGCCGGCAGAAATTTAATGCAAACAATAGTTAGCCCACTCATTAATCACCGGAACAACGGAAGAGGCGGCGAATAGAATTTCAGCTGGAGGTTGATATTCTCGGACCAATTCCCTAATTTGCCAGCTCTCACCTCGAGTCTTCGATAATTACTTAATCGATGGCAAGTAGCAGCCGAATAAGCGTACCGGGAATCGGGCTTGAAAGGATCCCTGGCTCTGGAATCAGCGAACAGGGTTCACGAGGGGATGAGGCGAAAACTGGGTGGATAGTTTTCTGTAAAACACACAGCACGAGTTATTCTATTAGAATGGTTGGTACCCCATTGGTGGTAGTCCAACGTATCTGCATCTTGTAAATGACCTAAGAGGGAAGGAAGGACTACGATGCATATTCAATGTATGTAAAGCGTAACTGAATATTCATGTGTGGGTGAACGCAGCTTGGCAATGTGCTAAGCTAGGCCAGTTAAGGGGTGGCTAGGGGTGTTCGGAACTGAAGGGAACCGCGATTCCATCCTAATGTTTTAACTCTCATCTTTGGTACACTAGCATTGATTCTCGTTTAGTTACCAAAATTATTCCAAGATTTTCATTTGTTCTCGAATTTAACTGACGATTTAATGTTTATACAACCCCTCGCATCGAATTAGGACCACGTACGAAAATTTCACTTATAGCTATAATATTATGTCATATATGGAAAATTCTTTTAGGTCAGGCAAAATTATTATTTAATATGTTCATTACGATACATAGCAATTTGTTATTATCGTGATAATAAATTGTGTGGGCGCAAGCGTTTACGTTAGACTCGAGTATCGATAGCGCGTGAGGTGAAATTTGGTGAATGTCATAGAAAATGTCTGTAGGCTAATCAGAAGACTACTTTACATCTCTCCAATCACATGATCTGAGTTGAAAACAATTACAGATATGTAGGAAAATAAGAGCATTATTCAGAATCCAGAGCATGCTGGATACAAGCTCACCAAAGTAAATGGGAATACAGGATGTTAACATGTGCTAATAATGTAATGTACTGTAGTAGAGTATCATGTCAGTAGCTAATAAATTATACAGAGTGTCTCACAACTAGTGTAGGTCCTTGAAATGAGAGGTAGCTCACTTGATTCTGAATAAGGTTTCCCTTAGCAAAAATGGGGTTTGGAGCTTCGTTTTTGAATTATTAAGGAAAAACACGGACCAATCAGAGCGCGAGGATTGCATGCGCTCAGCCACTAGGCTCGAAGCTGTCGCTCTCGCGTCTGCGCATGCGTAATCCTCGCGCTCTGATTGGTCCGCGTTTTTCCTTAATAATTCAAAAACGAAGCTTCAAACCCCATTTTTGCAAAGGGAAATTTTATTCAGAATCACGTCAGCTATCCCTATTTCAAGGACCTACACTAGTTGTGAAACTCCCTGTATAATTACACTTTGGACAGGCCTTTTAATTTTACGGAAAACGTGTAAAATAGTGAAAAATAACAGTTCTAATTCAATTAGACCAGGGACTTTAGAAGATGCATAATTAAGTGCATATTTAGAATCACACTACTGTATTCCATTGTAACTGTTTTACCAGTACCTATACAGATATGTCAACGGTGAAAGATTAATGGTTTAATGAGTATACTCGTAAGGCTAATATTTTGTTTTAAAGTCCAATGGTCTATTTCACGAATGCCTCTTCTTGTACACAGTTGGATTTCTCTCGCTGTTTTATGTCAGCTACTCTTATGAATGTAACAGTATTGTATATGTACTATTGTATAGCAAAGTAAGTCTCGTACGAGACTTCAAATGCTTAATAAAAAAAAAATATCGGAATACAGTAGTAAAAAATTT